CCTTTATGAAGTCGTATGGTGACCGTATGTCCGAAATAATCTCAATATAACTAATCTTAAATGGATAAAAAAAATCGCTTTTGTTAAAGGAGTAATATTTAAAGCAAGAGTAGATGTAACAAATACAAAATAGCGTCTTCTGGAGCTTCTCCTGTGATTGTTATCAAGGGATGGGCTGAATAGTAAGATCTGATTTATTTATGAGAAAGCTTTTCGTGTTGTTTTCAACATAATCTCAGGAGATAATGTTAATGGAACTTTTCTATTTGAATAGCTGCTGACGTTAACCACAAATATCCGTTAATAGCCAGTGAGATAACGAGACATTTAATCAAATTAAATCAAGAAATTAATGTCGCTTTTTTTAGATGAAAAAACCCGAACAACTTATATATCAAAATAACACATTTATTAAATGAAATAGTCTCTATTCTTATCGATGATGCTTTTCCATCTTACAATCAGGTTGTTAATGCCTTGATGAAAGAAATCACTTGGCTTTGAAGCAAAAAAAATGTCGATGTCCTCTTCAACACCTTCCACATTTGCATACGTTTTTCCCATTAAGATGGTGTTTCAGTGAACGAAAAAGATGGTAATCTGATGGTGTCATATCTGGAAAATATGGTGGGTGGAGGAGAACTTCCCAACCCAACTCCATAATCTCGTGTTGCGTCAAACGTGCCACGTGTGGACGTGCATTGTCGTGGAGAAGAAGAAGAACACCTTTTCGATTGACGAGTAAAGGGAGTTTCTGATGAAGGGGTTGATTTAAACTTTCCAGTTGCTGACTATAGATCTCTGCATTGTCTAACAATTCGATGTGGATTGAGGAATTAGAAGTGAATTACTCCTTTGATGTCCAACCGAATGCAAAGCATCACTTTCTGCGGATGGAGTCCAGGTTTTTGGGGTCGGAAGGGTTTTTGTCTCAGACTGGGTCATTGTTTTTGGCATTTAATATTCGCATAGAGAATCCATTTTTCATCAGCGGTGACAATTCTGTCCAAAAATGGTTCACGCGCATTACGCACCCGAAGAGACGACGCAACGTTCACACGTTGGAAACGATGGTTCGTAAGACACCCAAACATTTTTTTAAAAGAAGTTTTCCCATATTTCTTATATGTTTACGTATTGTTTCATGAGAGACATGCAATTTAATGGCCATTTTACGAGTGTGTTGCCTTGGGTTAGACTCAACGAGCGTCTTCAGAGCATCAATATCAATTCCAACATGTTGGTCCCTGCCATCACAGTTTTTAAGGCTAAAGTCACCTGAACGAAATTTGCAGAATCATCGTTAACACTTACGAACGTTCAAAACATTTCCATAAACTTTTTGAGGCAACAGAGGCGTTGTTTCCCTTCTTGTATTCAAATAGCATTACATGCCGAATGTGTGTCTCGTCGTGTGCCATCACTATATGGGATTAGAGTATATTAAACTACACTAGGCTACACTAACGTGACGTTTAGACGGTTCATTTAACTATTATACGTGTTGTACGATTTTTGGGGAGTGGTTAATGAAAGTGTTCCAAAACGCGACATTAATTTCTTGACGACTTAATAATTTGGTTGCGAATGAATTATCGGAATAGTTAACTACATGAAAATATTATCACGTGTGAATGGCTAAAAGCTACATTATTTAAACTGAATTAGTCTTAGCAGACAAAGATAGCTAATTTGTAGTTGTTATATCTGCTAAGTTTCTTCTAATTTTATTATTTTGTTTACTTCTTTGTGGAATCCTAGAGTAGAACACTCCGTCGGATCACCTCTAGAGTCTTGAAAGTTATCTGTCTATGAATACAGTGTCAGTGAATTTCATACCTCACGCAGAAATATTTCATTTTATGGGATGTTGTGATTTTGCACGACCACCAGAAGTAATAATACAGTAACAATTGCATTGTTTTTATGTGTTTTCATATAAGTTAAGTTAACATTGATGTTTATTGTAGTTAAGATAAGGCACAGTTAAACACAACGCAGTGTTATTCTAAGTGATCTCTGTTTGATCTTGATTTAAAAGTTTAAATAATTAAGCTAGATTTTACGTAAAATTATTTAATTTTTCATAAGATGAATAAAAATCATGAACGTTATATAGATTATTATTATTTTGTATCGTAAAGTCTCAAGTTTTAATTTCTCCAGTAATTTGTATGCTTGTATTTACTAAAAAAAAAAAAAAACAACCTTTCCACCGTTCGACACCGTGTCTACACTTAGGGCAGCTTCGTCTATTTAATTTAATGGTTTATTGTGTGGCATCCTCAGTGGTTAGAGGTAAAAGCAACAAACAAAAAAATAGTACAAATACTTACTTAAAGTAGCTGAAAATAAATAATGTTACCACCAGGGCCAAAAGGGATACAGCAGAACCAATAAAGAGTATGTAACCAACAGCAAGTGGATTCGTCGTTGTTTCCTGTTTCAGAAATACAATATTATTAAAAACGTTATTTCATACACATAAATTTGTTGTCTGAAAGAGCAGAAAACTATCGGGACTTACGTTTGAGAAGAAACAAAGAGTACTAAAAAAAACATTATTTGGTCAATTATTAATCTCATTTCGATTATTAATTTCATTACCTCATTATTAATAATTTGTTATTGTCTGAATGATAATATAAACGTATTCTGACCCATTTTACGATATAATAGATTAAATTGTAATGACAGCTCTATTGAAAAATTTAATATTTCAATCGTTATTGGAAGTCGCTCATAAAACAAGACAACAATTTTCATTAAACATCATTTGCAAATAGCAATGTTTAATTTCATCTTGCTATGATTACATATATTTCTCTTTTTCTTTGAAAAACTTTCTCAGTAAAAATCTATCAGTCTTAAAAGGCGTGTTAAACGTTGGTTAGTTTGGTTACAGTAAAAAAAAAGATCATATTGGGATTTATTTCAATGAGCACAAACTAAAGAATTTTTTAGCAAACGAATACTTCTACCTACGCACGTCATATTTTGTGGCACGTGCTTATTTTTAACGTGGCGATCTTTAGACAATACCCGATATATTTTGGTTTGCACATTAAATTTCTGAAGAAACAGATGCAGGAAAATGCTTAGTTAAATCGTTGTTTAAAAAAACAACAACTAATTGTCTGCAAACCTAAAACTCTGTTTCATGAGTAGTTTGCAATGACTTTATAAAAACATGCTTAAGAAACACACAAAAAAAACAATTTCCTTTATTTCGCGCCAGTTAGAAGTCACAAGCACACATAAACGTTTACGATAGTTTATGTGTACAATGTAGAGTTGTACACCAAATAATTTTATAAATTGAAAAGTCCATCTTAGACGAAAGCGCTTACATTAAGTAAAGAATTAAAAACAACTATTTATTTATTTATTCTAATCTATACCTCATCTGAAAACCTAAGTTTTTTCTTTAACATTCTTTGTTTTATTAATTACACGCCCCCCAGTGGCACAGCGGTATGTCTGCGGATTTACAGCGCTAGAATTCGGGTTTCGATACCCGTGGTGGGCTGAGCACAGATAGCCCATTGTGTAGCTTTGTGCTTAATTACAAACAAACAAACAGTTAATTACATGTCCTGAATGTTATCAAAGTTTTTGGTCAATAAATTGTAGCTAACATGCAATGATACTTAAAACATAAAAAAAATCAAAAGATAACACGGCTCAAAGAGAAAAACTGAACACTTTAATCAAAAAAAGTTTTGCGCACTAATTAATTAATCAAAGTATTGCAAAATACTCAAAATCGTTTAACTGCCCGTAAATTTGGCATTTTCTTCAACTTTCAGAACTTGACTATGTTGAATTTTATAAGAATGTTTCATGTTGAAACATTAAGCTCATTTTTAAAAATAGTTAATACTAGTACGAAAGAAAATACAGTTAAAATACCATCGATTCACAAATATGAGGATATTATCAGGATACGAATTCGAGATCATCAGGAAATTGTTGATCCAGTTACCAACGCTATTTTCAAGTTTTGAACAACTCGACTTTAAAGATCTATATGTATCTACACGTGCCGATGTTTCCATTTAT